CGTCTAATGCTGTGGCTCTGTGCGTGTGCGTGTGTGTGTGTGTGTGTGTAAGCACATACAACATAAACGTGGTTTCAGAATAACACAGATTATCCTGAATTACTTTATTTACCAAGAAATCCCCTGGGACTGAGAACTTAGCTCAGTTGGTAGGACACTTGCACTTGGCAAGCTCAGTCCCCAAGAGCATCTCATTTTAAGATATATTCCTTTCGTGTGTGGGGGTATTTTGCTTGCATGTATCTCTGTGCACAGTGTACATGCTTGGTGCCCCCAAAGCAAAAATAGAGACCCTAATAAACAAATGCATGGATTTTCTTTTCTTTTCAGGTCTGTCATTGACTTTAAGTTATCAAAAATTAGATGCCAAAGAGAACAAAGAGATAATTGTTAGCTGTGATTCTCAAATGTGACAAAAACTGAGAATTGACCCTGTATATAAATCTTCTTGATTGATTGATAATGTTTAAATGTTTATCCTCACTGGTAGTGAAAGAAGTAGTGCTAATATTTTACAGGAATGAGAAAAGGTAACAGGGTCAGTTAAGTAAAAAACTGAAAGTAATAAAAATATCAACTGTTTTAGCATAGCTTTCCAAATGGTTTTTATCTCTTACTCTGACTATCTTATGTTTAAAGGAGGGAAGTTTAACTGATATCCCAGAAACTTCAGAAGAAATGGAAAAAAGCAACAATGCTATTTCAGTAAGTACAGTTTTCAAAAATTGTCAGGCATTTCATTTAATAATATGCTTACTAAAGTGTAACTTTTTCAGAGTAAGCGAGAGATACTGCGTAGGCTAAATGAAAATCTTAAAGCTCAAGAGGATGAAAAGGAAAACCATAATCACTCTGATTCTTGTGATACCATTGGTCACAAAGATGTCAAAGAGTGTGAGAACGAAAATGCTGTTTCCTCCGATCGCAAGAAGTGGGAGATTGGAGGTCGGCTTGTGATTCCTCTGGGTGAAGTGACACTGGACACTCCCTGCTCTGCAACTGAAAGTATGTATGAACGTGGTAAGGTGCTGTCAATACCCTGGCCATCCAAACATGTGAATAGCTTGTGAGAGGAAGAAGAATTCTTTGCATCTTCCTCATGGGTGTGAAGTATCTGCTAGTAGAATATGAACAACATGAAAAATAGTTTGGTCTTTACAGTAGCAAAGATTTTTATATGAGTATTCTAAGAGGAGGGAGAGCTAAGGAAATGTATTTAAATTATATAGTTTGAACCCTTCACACCATGTTAATTTGTTATTTTTTTTTCTTGTTGGAGTGAAGGGGGTGCCTGGTGGGTGAGACAATGTCTCACTATGTATCCAAGACTGTCCTTGAACTCAGGGCCTTCTTTTTTGTCTTCCAAGTGCTTAAATTACAGGTATGTGTTGCCCAGCTCCTTGGCTCTTGGTTTTATGAGATAATATTTCACTATGTGTACCAGGCTAGCCTCGAACTCATAAACCTCTTGCCTCTACCCCTAAATGCTGGGTACATGCCACCATGCCCAACTCCAGCAATAATTTCTAATAATGAGCAATAAAAGCTCTAAAAGTTCACTTAGACATTTAGGAAGAGTTGTGTGATTTACCTAACAAGAATTCTCAAGGACCCAACTGTGTTCTTATTCCTAACATTTTTCTGGGCACTGGAAATACTATAAACAAAACAAAACAGACATGTATGTTCTCTTGAGCTCACACTAAATAAGCAAGTGTGACTGTGAACAACACTTGTTTTAACTGATTTCAATAACTATTTATGTCAATTCTTTTCAGTTGTACAGAAGCCCAGTAATTCTTTATTGAGTGTCTTCTGTATGCCAACCACTCTTAAGCTATAGAAACATGATGATAGTTAAGGCATAGTCCATCTTAAGGGTGTAATGGAAAGGGTGGCAATTAGAAAGGCAGTTGTAGTTGAGAAATAACATGATAATAATAACAGGCTACTCTGAGAATACTTACAATGGTAGAAATGAGTCTTTGGAAGACAAGCAAGTGGTTTCTTTAAAATATGATGCACTTGGTGAAAGTAGTAGTTACTGAGCTAAAGCCCAGCCAAGGGTTTAGGCAGAGAATAACCAGGACTGATGAGTAAGAGATTTTTATCTTACCATGTCTCACTGTGTATCGTTGTCTTTGAGCTTGTGATTATCTTGCATGTGTTAGAAGTGCTGGAATGATAGGTGTATACCACCATCCCTAGCTCTTAGCCCTTATGAAACTTAGGAAAGTTTCATGTTGATGTAATTCAACATGGACACTCATGACAAGAAAATCAAACAAGGAACCTTGGAAGGGCTGCACAGGTCCCTACATTCTGACTTCAACAAATATTATAGGCTTATTAGTGTGGAAGGGAGACTTTAAAATTATTTTTTGCTGGTGGTTAATGTAGGAACTCACACTGGTCTTAGTACAGAGAATAAATGTAAGTGGAGGGCTTAGCCACAGTGGAATATCTATAACACACACGGGTAGGGGCTAAGGAAGATGGAGAGAGAGCTAAAGAGCACAAAAGTACCTGGAGCTATCATGGAAGAGGGGGTGGAAAGGCTGTAAGAGTCAGAGCTTGAGGATGACTGGATGGAAACAGTGTCTTCTGGGCATGACAAGAATACTGCACTCATAAATTCATAGTGTTTGTGGTCTGTAGAAGATCAAGCTTGTCAGCATGGCTACATGGAGAGGGAAACAGTTTGTTTCATCCCCAACTAACTTGAGACAGTTGGTGGCTTCTCAGGAGGGGGTCAGTTTTCTTTAAGTCTGTTATCTCTATCATCCTCCATTGGATGGCCATGTATGTACCCAGAAGGTATGGACAGCACAAATTTGACTCAGTGGGTTGTTTGTTTGTTTGTTTGTTTGTTTGTTTAAGGACATGAAGTGAGGTGGGAGGAGAGGTGTATTGGTAGAATTGAGGGTGGATATGATCAGAACACATTATATGAAATTCTCAAAGAATTAATAAAAATGTTTTTAAATGAATAAAAGGGAAGTCATCAAATGTGTTCTCTACATAAGAAGATAGTAAATATTTTACATTTTACAGTTCTTATGGTATTTGTTACAATCAATTTTGACACCTGTAGGACAGCATCAATACATTTGAACATGGCTTTGCACAATTTTTATTTATAAGCAATAAATAAAAATAATAAAATTTGAGTTTTATATAATCCTTCACTATATTCTGTTTCTTTTCTTGGAAGAAGGCTTATGATTACTTCCTGAAGCATTTTTATAATAGCTCCTTGTAAATCGTTATTCTATAATTCCAACAGCTTTGTTACATTGTGTTGACTATCTTCTATAACAGTTAATTACCATTTTGTATTTCTTGTCAAAGAATTTCTGATTATTTCTTCATATTTGATATTGGTTAATGAGCCTTGCTTAAGTGCTACAATAATGTTGATAGAGTTGTGTTAGCAGGAGTTGGCCAAGCTGGGGTTAGCTGTAAGTTCCTGCCTTTCCTCCTGTGCTTCATGGTTCTATGTTAGCTCATTTTTCACAGACTCCAGTGCTATTTGGATCTTACCATGTATTCCACTCCTGGGCTGGGACCTGAACAGTAGTCTTTTAATTCAGTTTCCAAAGTCTGTGATGAGCTACAAAAGATCTGATCTGTGTGTACTTGTAGAAATAGTCACATGAGTCACATGAAATACTAATAAATCACATTACAGGATCTCACCCTTGAGTTTTGTGATCTGTCACCTAGTGTCTTCTGGTCTCTGAGGACTCTTCTTTGTCATCTAGCCAGGAAGCTGGGAGTTTGGATTTTAGCTATTTTTGTACTTAGAGTCATGCACCTGAACACTAGAGAGAAATGGAGTTTTGCCTTACTCTGGATGCCACACCTCTACTGAGCAGAAGCAGCTTCCGTTCTCAGCCACTCCTGTACCCACAACAATCCAGCATCCAGGAAAGATGAATCAAGAGATTTAAAGTAAATAGCATGGGCTTCCCTTATCTGTTGCTCAGGCTAGGACAAGAGAGCTGTGCCCTGGACTGCTGGGTTTGCAGCCTGGTGCCCACTTCTTCGGTTCTGGCAAACACGGGGCCTTCACCACAGGCTGTGTGCTTTGCATTTCTGTCTCTTCCACAAAAGAGCTGCTTTTCCTGTCAGGGTTAGAAGGATGGTCCTTATAATTCATCCTTGATCTTACAGCAAGAATGATAATATAATGGAAGCAATGGGTTGGTGTGGGCTCACTTTTTGGTTTTTCAAGACAGGGTTTCCCTGTATAGCCTTTGCTGTCCTGGACTTGCTTTGTAGACCAGGCTGGCTTCAAACTCAAATTAATCCACCTGCTTCTGCTCCCCTGAGGGCTGGGATTATTAAGCATGAACCACCTTGCCTGGCTGGGCTCAACTCTCTTCTTACCAAAAACCACAACTGTCTTTTAAAGAGGCTTAGCATTTCAAGTCTTTTTATATTTACCCATCCAGTTATCATTTCTGTTGCTTCTAATTTCTTTGGATTTATGTTTTGTTTTTGTTTTTTTGAGACAGTGTTTCTCTGTGTGTCCTTTTGGCTATCCTGTACTTGCTTTGTAGACCAGGCTTTCCTCAAACTCACAGAGACCCACCTGCCTCTGCCTCCCCAAGTGCTGGGATTACAGGTGTGCACCACCACACCTAGCTAGATTTATGTTTTTATATAGTGTCATTTTCCTTCTAAAGTATTTCCTTTAACATTTCTTATTAATAGAATCGATGGACTGTTTAAACTTTGTATACTAAGAAGAGATATCTTAATTTTTACATTTTCATTTAATCTTATGTGTATGTATATACACTTGAATGTATTATGTGCATTAAGTGCATGCAGGAGCCTGTAGAGGTCAAAGAAAGCATTAGGATCTCCGGAATTAGTTACAAAGAGTTGTGAGCCTCTGCATGGGTATGGGGAGCCAAATGCAGGACCTCTGTAAGAGCAGTAAGTGCTCTTAACCACTGGGTAATCTCTCTAGTCCTTGTAATTTTTCAAAGATGTTTTTTCTGGGCTGTAGAGATGGCTGAGAATACTTGCTGCTCTTACAGAGGACTCAGGTTCAGTTCCCAGAACCCACATGGTAGTTTACAACCACCCGTAACTCTAGGTGTAGGGGAACAAATTCCCTCTTTTGGCCTCCACCAGCACCGGGCGTTCACTTGATGATACAATCATATAGGACATTCATATACATAAAATATAAATATTTTTATTTTTGGAGTTAAAATATAATTATATCATTTTCCTAATTCCCTTCCTCTAACCCTTCCTATGTATACGCCAAACTACTCTGAAATACAAATGTGTTTAAAATACAAAGATTTCTTCTCTGGGTATAGCATTCTAGATGGCTCTTTATATCCTGTGTTCGAAAAATATCACCGGGGGCACGGTTCATGTGTCTCCTTACCATCCTCTCACAGGAGGCATGGCCTTCATGTGTCTCCTTACTGTCTTCTCAAAATGCCCTTCATTTTGTTCCCCTGTACAACAAGACTATTTTTGCAATTGCTGTGACTTTCTCACCCCCCCCCCCAATATCCTGGATTATTTTATGTGTATGAGTGTTTTGCCTGCATGTATGTCTATGTACCATGTATATGGTTGGTGCCCACAGAAGCCAGAGGAGGATGTCAAATCCCCTAAAAATGGTTCCAGACTATTATAAATTGCATGTGGGTGCCGGTGATCAGACCTGGGTCCTCTGGAGGCACTGCCAGTGGCCTCTCCAACCCACTGATTATTTCTCTGTGTTTCTGGTTTGGAGTAGAAGTGTCTCTGTGTAGTTATCATCTTCCTGTTCCCTTTCCTTGGGCTCACTGAAATTCTACAGTATGTGAGCTTACAACTTTTATTTAATTTGGAAAATTTCAAACATGATTTCATTAAACATTTTAATGTCATTCTTTTTCCTTTCCAGTTTCAGTCCAATGAGATACCTTGTCTCAAAACAACAGCAACATACGAAATCAAAATGGATAACACCACATAAGAAACAATAGCCAAGCTATCCTCTG